TGTTAACTACTAGTTCACAATAGGAATAATTTAGTCGATAACTGTATAAATCTATGAGGTTATCCACTGTTAACTACTAGTTCACAATGGGAACAATTTAGTCGACATCTGAATAATTCTATGAGGTTATCCACTGTTAACTACTAGTTCACAATGGGAATAATTTAGTCGATAACTGTATAATTATTTTAGGTTATCCACTGTTAATTGCTACTTAACAATAGGAATAATTTAGACGACAGCTGAATAATTCTATGAGGTTATCCACTGTTAACTTCTAGTTCAGAATGGGGATAATTTAGTCGATAACTGTATAAATCTATGAGGTTATCCACTGTTAACTACTAGTTCCCAATGGGAACAATTTAGTCGACAGCTGAATAATTCCATGAGGTTATCCACTGTTAACTACTAGTTCACAATGGGAATAATTTAGTCGATAACTGTATAATTATTTTAGGTTATCCACTGTTAACTACTACTTAACAATAGGAATAATTTAGACGACAGCTGAATAATTCTATGAGTTTATCCACTGTTAACTTCTAGTTCGGAATAGGGATAATTTAGTCGATAACTGTATAAATCTATGAGGTTATCCACTGTTAACTACTAGTTCACAATGGGAACAATTTAGTCGACAGCTGAATAATTCTATGAAATTATCCACTATTAACTACTAGTTGGCAATGGGAACAATTTAGTCAATGAGGTTATCCACTGTTAACTACTAGTTCACAATGGGAACAATATAGTCGACAGCTGAATAATTCTATGAGGTTATCCACTGTTAACTTCCAGTTCACAATGGGAATAATTTAGTCGATATCTGTATAATTCTATGAGGTTATCCACTGCTATCTACTAGTTCACAATGGCCAATAATCTAGTCGATAACTGTATAATTCTATGAGGTTATCCACTATTAACTACTAGTTCACAATGGGAATAATTTAGTCGATAACTGTATAATTCTATGAGGTTATCCACTGTTAACTAATAGATCACAATGGGAATAATTTAGTCGAACAGCTGTATAATTATATTAGGTTATCTACTGTTAACTACTAGTTCACAATGGGAACAATTTAGTCTATGAGGTTATCCACTTTTATCTGCTAGATCACAATAGGAATAATTTAGTCGATAACTGTATAAATCTATGAGGTTATCCACTGTTAACTACTAGTTCACAATAGGAATAATTTAGTCGATAACTGTATAATTCTATGAGGTTAACCACTGTTAACTACGAGTTCACAGTGGGAATAATTTAGTCGATAACTGTATAATTCTATGAGGTTATCCACTGTTAACTACTAGTTCACAATGGGAACAATTTAGTCAATGAGGTTATCCACTGTTAACTTCTAGTTCTGAATAGGAATAATTTAGTCGATAATTGTATAATTGTATGAGGTTATCCACTGTTAACTAATAGTTCACAATGGGAATAATTTAGTCAATAACTGTATAATTCTATGAGGTTATCTACTATTAACTACTAGTTCAGGATGGGAATACTTTAGTCGATAATTTCATAAATCTATGAGTTTATCCACTGTTAACTTCTAGTTCAGAATAGGAATAATTCAGTCGATAACTGTATAATTCTATGAGGTTATTCACTGTTAACTACTAGTTCAGAATGGGAATAATTTAGTCGATAACTGCATAAATCTATGAGGTTATCCACTGTTAACTTCTAGTTCAGAATAGGAATAATTTAGACGATAACTGTATAATTCTATGAGGTTATTCACCGATAACTACTAGTTCACAATCGGAATAACTTAATCGACAGCTGTAAAATTCTATTAGGTTATCCACTGATAACTACTAGTTCACAATCGGAATAATTTAATCGACAGCTGTATATTTCTATTAGGTTATCCACTGTTAACCAATAGATCACAATGCGAATAATTTCGTCTATGAGGTTATGCACTGTTAACTACTAGTTCACAATAGGAATAATTTAGAAGGCAGCTGTAATAGTTTATGAAGTGATCTGTTAACTACCAGTTCACAATGGGAATTATTTAGTGGATAACTGTATAATTCTTTAAGGTTATCCACTGTTAACTACTAGTTCACAATGGGAACAATTTAGTC